TCGTGATCTACGAATGGCATTGAAACGGTGAAAACTTTTGGTGTCATAATTCTTCTCATACGGAACCGACGTCAGTCAACTATAGCATGCTAAGTAATTAAAGGCCAATAGAGGCTCACCGCTCCTCGTTCTTTTTAGGGCTTGTTCATTTACATTTTTTAAGTTAGGGTGACTTGAGTTCAGATATTGATTTGAGTTAAGGTGTATTTGAGTATGGTTTGAGTTGAGACTCTAATTTGAGTTTGTGTTTGGATGAGCGCATTTTGAGTTATGGTTTGAATTGAGAATCTATTTGAGTTTGTGTTTGGGTGGGTCAAAACTTGAATTTGTATTTGGATAATATTTTAATAAAAACTCAATGGTGATGGAAAATTTTAATAGGGTATATGAGTAGGAGGGATGCCCAAGGAAGTCGCCGAACGGAACAGTTCAGGGTGAATTTTTCTCTTTTGGCCAGGGACCCAACGTATAGATGAGGGATGATTTTGGGGATATGGTATCCCTATTTCAAATTTGGGAGAAACTCGATTGCCTAGTTCTTGTAGGTATGAGAACATATTTAAGATTGAAGGAAGAGATGAGACTCTTGTACGATGGTCAAAAGGTTTATGTGCAATTCAAGAAAACTTACAGAAGTAGTGAGAATCACATGAAATGGCAGAGAGATGTGAAATTGGTATGGCTTCAAATCTCGATTCAGAGAAGAAAGAGGAACTTTGAACAACCAACGGCTACAATGGCAAGAATCTTCTAATAAACTTTACACTGTTGTTGCATGCTAGAATAGCTATACACTGTAGCTATTAATTTGAATTTCACTCGAATTGAAGGAAGAGGATGAACTTGAGTGACTCGAATTAATTTTCGTGTTACCACACGGCCGAACTGCAACTTGGGCTTAAAGCCTCACTCGAAGTGAGCCTTATTCGAATATTTTACTGTAAACGAACAACCCTTTAGTAACTTGAGTAATGAAACAGAGATATGAATTTAGCTCCCTAATCTTCTTCAAGATTTCACATCTTCTAATTTACAGACTAACCAGTGTCATCTTTTGCTTATTTTAATCTGTCGTGAATTTCACCGAATTTAATAGAAAAAAAAAAGTGACCCTGCCGAAGAATAGGTTGTGTAAAAGTAAGGCAAAGATTAAAAATAAGGAGAAAGAAAAAGGACAAACAAAAAGATAGAGAGAGCAGAGGGAAGGGAAGGGAAAAGTAATAATAAAAAAACTAAAAGAAATCTAAAAAGACAGAAACTTGAGCCGTTTGTTAAAAACATAGGCCCAGTTCAAGTGTTAAACTGAATAAAAAGAGAAACAAGATCAGAGATTCATAAGTGAAAGCTAAGAAGTTTGACCAGAGTTGCTTCCAATTCCATGTAGTACTACTATTGGTGGTACCGTCTAATTTTTATTTTTTTTATTTGTGTGTGTGTGTGAAGTCCGTAATCGAAGCAGTTGTCGGCCATGGATTCGGAGAGGGACCCACTGGACTCTCCTTCTCTTTCTCCTCCTCATCCTCCTCCGACATTGTTCGACAAAGATCGGCATGTGATGTTCTTGCAGATGATGTACCAGCTCTTGCCTTACCAGTACCAGACTCAAGAGATCAACCGCCTCACTCTCGCCTACTTCGTCATCTCCGGCCTCCACCTCCTCCGCCAACTCAACTCCGTAACCCTCTCTCTCTGTTTGGTTCCCGAGAAAATGTAGAGAAAAAAAAAGTCGAAATCTTTAACAACACAGCGGTCTCTTCTTTGACTAAAAAACGTAGAATTCGATTCGATTTGGTTTAGTTTCTTGTTACCAAACTGCCAAATAGATGTTTCTAGCTTCAAGATTGAAACTTTAGTTTTCTGTTATTTTCTGTCCGATTTCTTTTGGTAAATTCAGTTTAATTTGGTGGATTCTGAAATATTTGCGTACAATCACTTATTTAGTTTTGGATTAATTCATAATTGATTAGATTGACAAGGAAGCAGTTGCCGATTGGGTTTTGTCGTTTCAAGCTCGCCCAAGAGTTCAAGGCGAGATAAATAATGGTATGGCTTTTAATCGTGTTTCCGGGTTCCATAAAGAATTAGATTGATTTTCTTTGTTTGATTCATTTAACTCCCAAAATCCAAAATGACAAGGTAAGATATCAAACAAGTGTTTGAATGTTTGTTGGATGCAGAGCAATTTTATGGATTCCATGGTTCCAGAACTTCTCAATTTCCGTCTGATGATAATGGGGTATGAAAAACACGTAATGCACTAAGCTTCTGTTCTTTTTTTTTTTTTTTTTCAACTTCATTTTTAAGTTTCCTGTTTAGTTATGTTAGTTTTTCTTGTAGACCTGTACTTTGATAAATAGTAAATACCTTTGAATATTATTTGATGAGTAAATGGTATAATTTGTGAAGAATGGCTAATAACTAGATGGTTTATTTGATCTCTTAAACCTGTTTCTTGGAAATGACATATTTAGTTTAATCTGGTTGCAGATTTTGGTTCACAATGGTAGTCACTTGGCAAGTACGTATTGTGCCTTAGCAATACTAAAAATAATTGGCTTTAACTTCTCCAATATTGATTCTGAATCAATATTGACATCCATGAGAAACCTTCAACAGCCTGACGGAAGGTATGCTTTATAGTTATCTGTTTTTCGATATCTTCCTGAAACTCAAAATCGTTGATCTTGCAAAAACAGAGTCACATTCACTCGCGGTTTTTGTAGCTTGTTTCTAGTCAATTACTTCCTTCTCTATAACTTGCAATGTGCAAACGTTCTGGATGCGTAATGGGAGATTTTTCTTAGTTTCAGTTAATAATTAGACGTCTATTAGACTCTAAGACTTGGTTTCTTATACACCGTTGCTCTCTCGCCCCCGCCCCTTGTTATGAGTTTTTGAATGATCTTTCTGGTATGTTGCATGGATTTCCTTTTTTTCTTTTTTTGGCAGCTTTATGCCCATCCACACAGGGGCAGAGACAGATCTACGGTTTATTTATTGTGCTGGTAAGAGAAAAATAAATGATAACATTAAATTATTTACTATTAAGTTTCATGAATCAAACATGCTCTAAAGATATCTTGGTGTTTCAGCTGCCATCTGTTGTATGTTGGAAAATTGGAGTGGCATGGATAGGGAGAAAGCAAAGGAGTACATATTGAATTGTCAGGTTTGTATATATAACTGCATGAATTTCTGATCACTACGAGCTATGAAGTTACTTTCCTGGAGATTAGGTGTTGCATCGAGTTGTTAATTTCCCATGTTACTGATATCCTGATATAGATACTTATGCACAGTGGTGATTTCATTTCAGTCATATGATGGAGGCTTCGGTTTGAACCCTGGTTCAGAATCTCATGGTGAGCTCAATCAAACATATGAAAATATTCATTTATGCCGTGAAAATGTGGTTAAGCACTCTCTTATTTTGATAGTTGGACCAAAATGACTTGATTTTTCTTTTGTTAAGCTCCTCCTATATCCGACCATCATGTATTTCAGCGCTACTAAATTCTTATTTTGTGACTCTGGAGTTTCATTCCACTTGCATTACTAGATATGTTGATGTGAATTTGTGTTCATTAGCTTTATAGGATAGTTTCTTGATTTTATCCAATGATATTTGCCAACCGTGTTTATTTTTGTGGCACAGGTGGTGCAACTTATTGCGCTGTTGCGTCTCTTCGGTTAATGGGATTTATTGAAGACGACCTTCTCTCCAAAAATGGGTCATCATCCATAATAAACGTACCATTGCTGCTGGACTGGAGCTTGCAGGTTTGTTTCCCTATTTTTCTGAAATATCATACATACATTTTTCTGAAACAAGGTTGCATCATTTGAAAAATTTAGACGACATCGAACAGACATCAGGGGCTCTAAGCTCTCATAAAATGTGCTGAATTTTGGAAATGCTTCAGAAACAAGGGCCGTATGTTTTGTTTCAATAACTAGATTGGTTTTGAATTTGAACTGTTCAAGTTCAGTACTTTTCGTGTTCTTTTATCAAGGAAGGATTTCAGCCAGTCTTATTCGTTCTTATTTTACTGTTGCAGAGGCAGGCAGCAGATGGTGGATTTCAAGGGAGGCCCAACAAGGACAGTGACACATGTTACGCATTCTGGTTGGTGAAAGGACATCATTGGGTTATTTCTACGGAATTTTTATAATTACTTTGTTTTTGACAAGAACGTTGTGCTTGTATAGGATTGGAGCAGTACTAAGGATATTAGGGGGTGAAAAATTCATTGATGATAAGTCTTTACGTGGATTCTTGCTAACTTGTCAGTCTGAGGTACTGTGTTTCTCCTTTCCTTCTAGTTAATCTTTTGTTCGGGTGGCTAATGTAATCTCTTCTTTGTGTCCAAGACTCTTTAAGTATAATTCATTACTAGTATGGCCCACGTGTGCGAATAATTGAGGTAGTTAAAGAAGCTTTAGTTGATGTGAAGAGAGGAAGAAACCAATACAATGCGGATCAAAACTGGCAGCCTGTGGCCGGCTTATGTAGTTTTCAGGGGTCATAGAATAGTAATTACCATCTGTTAATTGGATTATACGTGATTATAAGATTGGAAAAATTCAAACCCCTTGCAACTTAAATTTGGCATCTCTTATCAAGAAGTGACAACTTTTTTATTTATAGCATGTAAATTAGAGTCTGATTGATGTAATGCTAATGTTCGATACGTTTCAGTCTGGTCTCTCTTTTTCCTTTTTCCTTAATAAACTAAATCTGTCCTATTATGTAAACATTTTATTATGATAGGCTAGTCATATGTGATTCTTGCAATTCCTAATGGAACATTATATCTCTTAGCTAAAACTTTGTTTTATGTAGTCCTTTAACATTGTTGCTGATATTGTTTCTTTGCCAGTTTGGGGGTTTCAGCAAGTTCCCGGGGCAGCTTCCGGATCTATACCACTCATATTACGGATATACGGCATTCAGTCTCTTGGAAGAGCCCAGCCTGAACCCCCTTTGCGCTGAACTTGGTATCGCAAATTTTGCTACTCTGGGAATCTGACTTAATTGTTCTTCTCATCTTTCTCTTTGCCGAAGTTTTCTGAGTTTGTATGTGTTCATCATCTCCAATTATAGCTGTCATTATTTATCAAGATATAAAACACACGTTCTTACCTCTTTAGGTAAGTGATTTGTTTGAACATTCTTTTAACAAAACACAAAAAGAGAAAAGGGATACATAATTTAGTTAGTCTTGTTGTTGACGATACAAACAGTTGTTATTATAGCTGATCCTTGTTTATGAGATTAGTTTGTTATTTGACAATTTCGAAATGAACAAGTTTTCTATGCCGTTATGATACTAATTTTGCTAGTGTATTTCTTTTGCAAAAGTGATCTGTCCCCTTTCGTTAACCGTTCGCCAAAACCAGATAAGCTTTTAAGTTGCACAAAATTAGCCAGTTCTGCCCAAACTCAGTTCCTATTCTCTACGTTGAAAAAAATGCTATATATACCTGAGTAGATTCTTGTGATGGTATGTAAAACTATGTAATTCCTGTATAATAATGCATGTACTGGATATAAACATTATTAGATTTTTGGCTGATTTCTCTAGCGTTGCTCTTCAACAACTGTGTGTTGAATATACTTTTTCCCCAAGGAAGATCTGCATATCTGTTTATCTTCGTTCTTTGTTGCTTAAAAGCCCAAAAGAACATCTCACAAGTGATGGTTTTACCAATACGAACCTTGTCATTTTGTTAAATAGTCTACGGTCTACTTCTACACAACACTTTGAAATGTACCACAAAACAAACCCCAAATTACCCCTGACCCACTCAGAAACAGTCACATCCGAGTTGAATGAGCTGTGATGGTGAGCAATCAGACGGTTGAAATTTCTTCTTTGTATTGAGGAAAAAGAAAAAAAAAAAAAAAAAAAAAAAAAAAAAAAAAAAAAAAATTTTTTAACGCGGGGGGGGGAAAAAAAAAAAAAAAAAAAAAAAAAAAAGAAGCTTTTTAACGCGTGTGACGGTAAAACAAACAAACATGTATGATACAAACAAAAGAGAGCAGAAAGAAGAAAACATTGACATGGCACGACTAATGAGTAACGACAGTTTGTTTATGCATGTCCCATTGCGAGCATGAGACAGAGAGGAGATGGCATTGTTGTCTTAATTCTCCTTTTTAAAAAACAGAAAAACAACTTTACACTTCACAGTGGCATTAAGACAAAACAAACATCTAAATTTTCTGCAGTATCAATTCAGCACTATTCCCTCACAGGAGTGAATGATTACAGGTATTGAGACAGTTGATGAGAGACATGGAGATTTGAATAAAACAAATTATCCCCACTAGTCCCCCACTTGCACCTCACTACTTACCTGACCCGCCTATGCACGTCATGTTGCTGCCAAAATGTTGTCTCCCTCATTACCCCCATTTGAAAAATACTCAACATACCATTACACAACACAAATTTTCAGACTAATAAGACTGAAATTAAGTTAAGAAAAGAAAACGAAAAAAAGAAAAAAGCCCATTTTGGTTCATTTCATTTCATCTAATGTGGATTGAGCTTCTTATTAATTGGTGCTGATCTGAAGGTTGAAGGTGAAGAAGCAAGAGGAAGTACCTGTGAGGAAATAATCTCCCTTGCTTTGTTCTTATCAACAGTGATTGTGATAAAAGACTCATCTTCCTCATTCTCTTTAAGTATGCTTGAAATAGTAGTAGTAGTAGGAGTAGTACCACCTTCATTTTCCTTCCATTTTTTGTCACTAATAATATTCCCATCAACAATCTTCACAAGACCAGTTTCAGTCTCGGCCTTTTCCATCAACCTCTTCTTAATAAGCTTCTCCTCTGCCTCTTGCAAGAACTTGAACTTAGGAGGAGGTGACGACGACAATGACGAAGACGATCTAATAATCCTATTGAACTCTTCCTCTGCTGTTGACTGAAACAGAAAGTTGATACCTTGATGTCCGTACGATCCCCCAGGTGTTAGAGGAGGAGTGAAGAATGGTGGAGAGGCTAAAGGGGTCAAATATGGAGTCTCCAAAGTGACAAGCAAATCACTCAAACTCCTACTTCTTGACCCTTTTTTGCTCTTGTTATTATGAGACTTGCCATCTTCAGATTCCAAGTCTTCTTTGGTCTCCTCTACGATTGTGAAGAGGAATCTAGGAGGGCCTGAGCAGTTTTGCAGTGTCATGAACTGTGTCTCTGGACCATCCTCTTCAAAGGGTTTGAAGAGAAAATCGTCGTTTGGCTCTTGGAGAAGTGTATTGTTGTTGTCGTTTATGGGAATTCTTGTACTTGAGGAGCAGATTTCTTGAGGGTTGAGAGCTGAGTGGCTAAAAGCTGAGTGTTTTCTCCAACAAAACATGTAGAAGAGCTCTTTTGCTGGGCTTATATAGTCATGGTTTTCTATCTCTGATCTGTTGGTGATCAGCCTTTTCTTCCACCAAAACAAGTAGTAAAGCTCAGCTATGAGAGCCAAGAAAAGGCAACTGAATACCACACTTAACCCAATTCCTACACTACTCAAAGACTTCATCTTTTTCTCTATGCAAAAATAAACATTTGAGAAATTCAATTGTAACAAGTGAGATTTAAGCAAGTTCCACTTTTAAGCATCAAAGAAGGGAAAAGAAAAAGAACATGCAAAAGAATCCCAAGAAAATGAAGGTAAGGAAAAAATAAGGGGAAAAAAAAAGAAAAAAAAGAAAGCTGCTTTGTGTTTGTGAGTGGTTACAATCTTCTCTAAACAAAGGACAAGGACAACCCCGTGAAGTTGAGCTTGCAGTAGTATATACTAAGAGGGCTTTTCTCCTTTTGCAATATAGAGATAAAGAGATATATGAGTTGTGACTTTAGTCTAATAAAAAGCCCCAGATACCAACCTGCTAAAAAAAAAAAAAAAAAAAAAAAAAAAAATCACCGGAAAAAAAGCTCTTTTATTTATCTTTTTTTCTCTGAATATCACATTCTTCAATCATGAAGCATGATTACAAATAAAGCATTTCACTTTAAACCCATTGAAACTAACCCATCTAGTTGCAGATATTTACATAATTCAGCCTCTGAGATTAGGAATACGAATGTTTAATAAATAAATAGAGAAACAAAGGGAAAAAAAGAACTTGGAGGTGAAAAGGATAAGCTGAGGCAATATTAGCACAAAGACAGAAAAGTCGGCAAATTGCCTGACTAGTTTATGGTTGAGAGGTCACGTCTCTCGAGGAAACTCACATGGGATCACAAATAAAAGAAAAGTCACGTGTCACTAAACACAAATTAAGTTGGCTAATACACTACAATGCCACCAATAGAGAGAGAATGAAATGAAAGTATGTTAGTTACCTTTGTGAAAAGTCACGTGTCACTAAACGCAAATTAAGTTGGCTAACACACTACAATGCCACCATTAGAGAGAGAATGAAATGAAAGTATGTTACCTTTTACATTATGTGAGCATTGATTTACCTGTTTCTTAAACTGTGAGCAGAAAGAGAGACAGGATGATTCTGTATTTGACTCGGAAGTCCCAAGTGCTAAAAACTATTTGTCCTTAAAACACAAGTTGATTGATGTTTTGTAACTAACCAAGATATATAATCTTTTTGGCGCCAATTTCTTTGAGGTTTTTTCAGGCATTTTAATTTTGACAGTCAATAATCCTTGGATATGCAAACTGTGCGTTACATGGCAAATAATTTTTGTGTTAACGAGCACACACAAGTTATGAGAGTGGGTAAAAAAAGAAAAATAATTTTTCGATACTAATGACGACGTCTTAATACCATGATTTTGTGTTACAGGCTCATTTGATACGAGCTCGAGATCAGTCTTATACGAGCTTGAGTTCAGCTTTACGCGAGCTCAATCTCGCCTTTCAGCTTTTATGCAATCTCAAGCTTAATATTTTACGACAAGAAAAAAAATATATATTTTAAATAATGCTTTAGTTAATGAAGGAGAACCTTTCAACAACAGAAAAACGGTCTCTTTTTTTCTAAGAGTAAATTTTAAATTTAAGATAAGAAGAAATGCAATAATATGTTAAATTTTGTTATTAATGATGATTTCCGTGTAGATGAAACTGTAGGTCCGCCAAAGCCATTTTCCTTTTAACAACCTGATTTAGGGCCTTTGGCATTGCTTCTAGGTGCTATGTTTAGCTTAGATGAAACTGTAGGTCCATCAAAGCCATTTTCCTTTTAACAACCTGATTTAGGGCCTTTGGCATTGCTTCTAGGTGCTATTTTTAGCTTTCTATACAAGTTACAGTAGATTTGAGTGTTTGATAAATTCAGTTTTTGTTGAACTGTTGTCAAACACTAAAATTTAAAAAGTAGGTTGGCAGTTGCTTTTACACAACAGTTTCTACCGCCATCATCTAAATTTATTAAAATAACCTTAACAATAAAATTTAATTCTTAATATACTTATTTTATTTTTTTCAAACCAAATTAAAAAATATTTTTTTTAAATTAAAAATCTTTAATAAGTATGCTATGCCAGATTTCATTCAAATATTTTTAATAATGATCAAAATATTTAAAAATAACAATAACAAATATTATCATTATACATTTTTCTTCTTGAATAAATAGTAGATGGATAATTTTTCTTCTTGAATAAAAGTAATTTATTTGTAAGAACTATTTTAATTAATAAAATTTTAAATATATATTTTTATATTATGAACATTGACCATAAAAATAAAAATAAAACTAACTATAATAAACATGTGTGATAATATATGTCTATTCATCATTATACATTTCAACAGTAATTTTATATGTAGTTTACCATTCACCTAATTTTTTACTTTTGATATCCACAGTAACTTTGTAAAAATTTACCAAACACATATATGCTTATGGTCATAATAACTTATTACTAACATCACGACAATGACAAAAATGATCGACAACACAACAATGCAAAATTGGCGCCTAATCATAAAATACACAAACTACTAATAGCAGCTTGATTTAATCAAGTGGCTTCTTCTTTTCTCTTCTTTCTCTTTCCTTATCTAACAAAGTTTTAGAAGAGATTAGAGATCATAAAGGACTCTTTTGGGTCTTGTACACTGCAATCTTCCACATATTTGGCCTCTGTCATGATTGTCCCAATGTGTTTTTCTATTTTTTTTGGGGTTGCATGCAGCTTTATTCACTAATGTTTGTTTTGTGGCCTCCAAGATGCTCAAACAACATTTGTCAGACCTTTTACCATCTTTCAATTCACTTTCCCATCTTAGCATCATTGAAAACACTAGTATATTTGAGAGAACGGGATGACATGTCACCAGTATATTTCGTGAATATCCATTTAAATAAGTGGGATAATTAATCAATGGTATATAATTTATTCTATAGTGGATAATGAATTATAGATAAGCAAATTTCACATCAGAAACTTTGAAAGAGATGACGCCACAAGTTTAATTTATTGCAATTTTTAAAGTCTTAAATGTAAATCTTCTTACCTTAAATCTCTCTTTTTCTTTCAAAAAAAAAAAAAAAATCAGGAATAATAGAGGTATAAGCCAAAAGGCAAAAGCTTTGTGTAATTTGGCAGATCACCTGTAAATGATAAAGAATATAGCCCAATACTTTACTGCCTGCCAATACTTTTGTTCTGCCAAGCTGCAAAATAAGAACATGGGTATAAGGTATCTTCGACTTACACTATAGCAGGTAAAAATAGAGGTATAATAGAATTTTTATCTTATTTAACGATAATATTAAGAAAAATATATGATTTGGATTAGTAAATTCTTTATTGTTACTTCTTAACAACGTTATTATTACATAAACTTATCATTGCACTCTTTTTACCATATGTCAATATATATTCCACATATCAATATAACATGTAGGTATCATAACATATAGAAGTTGAGGAATACCATAGTATTTATTTTTTTATAACAATCATTTAGAAGTTTGTGGCATTCATCTACAATAGGTAATTTCTTTGCTGTTATACCATTACGAAACCATTCTTACACAAAATAAATGTAACATTAAACTCATTACTTCTACAATGACTATTTATTTATGAATACACACATACATTTTTGTCAGTTCTTGACAAAAGACCATCCTACATCATAACGTGTATAACATATATTGTGTAACAAGAAGAAAATTAGTTATCTTAGACCTCTGTTGTACCTTATCAATGTCATTGTTATATAAAATAAATGTTAAATTATACATTTCATTTCTCTACAAACCCACACACATAAAATATAGCCTTTTGATATGGTCCTTGTAAGAGATCATACTTCCCTATAATATATAGAAACAAAAAGTCTTAACATAATATATATATATATTTTTTAAATATAACATTAATATTGAAATATATAACAACAGTTTAAAATAACTAAATTTCTTATTGTTACACATTTTTTTCAGCGTCAATAATACGTTTAATAAATATCATGTTGTGTTTCTCAGGTCTATTTATTAAGTCGGAGGGATTGTACCTAACCTAGATAACCATAAAATGCCCACACATACATGCATATTATTGGCCACAAAAAGTGGAAAGAGAAATCAGCAAAGGCCTATACCATGTTGGATATGCGGCCATTGTCTTCGATATGGCTAAAGATATTGAGCTAGTGACCAGAGTCACACAAATTAACTGAAGCTTTGTGTATGGGCAAAAAGAGGAGCTTTAGGACCCGTTTAGTTCGCTGATTCAAATTTTTAATTCGAGTTGAGATGTGATTTTATGTGAAAGCTTTTTACTGTAGCAAAAAAGTTAGATGTGATTATTTGTGAGAGCTTTTTACTGTAGCAAAACTCGAATTCTAAACTCGAATCAGCGAAATGAACGGGACCTTAGTCTCTATCGATATCGATGTGTATATACATCCTCGTCTACTCTATGTTGCGGGGATACCTACTAAATTTGCTCATGTGTGATGAGCAATTTATGGGGTCATTCCTATATCTAGAACGACCAAATTGTAGTGTACCTCTAAGAGTTGTACTACATCGAAAAAGAAACAAGAAAATTATATTTGTTTTCCAAAGTTTAACATTATCCGTCACTTTGCTCTAGCAGCAAGTATATATCCTCACATACTAATAGACGGCCACTTATAGCTATTAGCTAGTTAGCCTAATCAATTGATGTACGTACATATATATATATATATATATATATATATAAAGTCTCATCTTTTTACTCTCAAAAAATTGATATATATCTTTATAAACAGTACACACACATATATATAGACAAATTTTCAAGAGGGACTATTTCGTACGTTTTCCTATAATAGTTTTCTTAATTCCTTTCTTAAATTTAATTAGAACTGTAAGTTTGAGTTAAATTTCGAGACCCGTTATTATTATTAATTCAATCTAAAGTCGGCCAGTTAAATATTCGGGCCGGACTGGATTGATACTTTAAGCTTAAAACAGTTTTCAACCCGAATTGGTCCTGGACTCATCGGTCTTTAGGAATGAGCCGATTCCGGACCCAACTTTCAGCTCTAGGTTTAGTTATGTTACACATATCTAT